GGCCATTAGCGACACCGAGCGGCTGCGGCGGAGCTCAGTGCTGCCTGAACCGTCGAAAAAAATCGCGTTCTATTATGTTTTAGGGCTAATAGTTAAATAGCGGCTACAAAATCTTTTTATGTTTCATGGTTTACTGGTGTTGTAAAGAACCTCCATCAGGTCTGATCGCCTCACTTCATAGCTGTGCCGCATATGTTTTTAAAACGTGAATGTTTCCAGTTGAAAACTAGTGCATGACAGATGAAAACGCAGGGAAAGCCTGGGGGAGATTTTGAAAACGCATACATGACAACTCCAGAATTATATTAACCGCCGGCACTTGGCAACTTTGGACCCCTTTTTAAAATGCAACTAGTCCCTGAAAATTTTTAATACAACAGTGAGAATCTAATGGAGGTTGGAATCTAAAAATCTACTTTGATGATATCTACCGTTACAGTAATATAGACATAGTGTAAATGTATTTTAAAATATATAGTCCGTTTAATTCTCCAGCTATAAATTGGTTAGAAATAGGGGGAGAAAAAAATCTGTTTTTATTTCCTTTCTTTTATTTATTTTTTTTCTTTTTTTTTCGGGAGCCAAAGGTTTATGAAGATCTCATTGGAATCCAGCGGATGATTAATGTGAAGATTTGGTAGGAAATCTGGAGAGCTGTATTAAAGCTCAGATCTCAGGTTCATTTCGATCAGCCAGCCGTGAACTCTGGGCCGAATTCATTACACTTTAATAGTGCTGGGAGAGGAAGAAAATGCAATTTCTCATTCCATTAGAAAACTAGAAAATACTCTCAGCTTGTCCCCTATTAAGATGTGGTAGGTGACGGGACCATTGTGGGGGACACATTCAATGGAATTACAGCACATTATTTTTGTTCGTATAAAATATTGAAAGGCAAGCCTGACTGTGCAGAAGTTATTTCACTGATTTGGTTTTTATGTAAATAAAATATTGAAAGTTAATTAATCCGTGCTAGAGACTAATGATTATGCTTATTATATTGCATTTGATCGCGTAATTTGCATGATTCTCGCATTGCTGCTTAATAAGCCATTCCAGGTTATAAATAATTCTGAAATTGGTTTCTAATAATGGCATACTATAAAAAGAATGGTTTTATTACACCAGCCTGAAAAGCAGAGCAATATCAGACATGGAATTGAGTTCCCGTTTAAGCACCATCCGCATTAATAATTATTTAAATATATCATATACATTAAATATAGATCTAAAACGAAAAAAAAAGAGGCAATTTATCCTCGGATCTAAACCCCTTAAAAACATATACAGCCGCTAAAAAATAACTATTTAGATCATTTCTTAATCAGCATGGGACCCGCATACTGCGAAAACCGTGTAGGCAATCTGTTAATTATAAAGAAAACTATAAAGTACTCATATAAGAACGTAAGCCAATTACTATTTAATTTAAATTTGGTCAAGGAGCAGTGATACAGTGGCTTGTGAAGCAAATACATTTTACATAAATTATTTTCCATTAGATTACATAATGTTAATCATTTTGAAGTGTTAATTAAGAAGGTTAAGAAGATTACTTTTTAAACTACAGAACATTATTGTAAAAATATTTAAATTGCCACTCTATTAAACTGTTTTTATCAGCAATCTTGAGCTATTATCATTCGTTTAGGATTATGCCGAGACCATTAAAACACTTTGTCTTTCTCCCTACGCATTTCTTTGATGTGGTGTTAGAAAATAACTATTTCCATTTTATTTTTTTTTACTTAATTTACCACACCTAATATTGAAATTGGTATTATTAACCTTTGGGAAAACCAATAAAGTTTAATAGACCTCGTTTTCTTTTTTTCATAAAGTCGGTTGTCCAATTATATTTTATGTGTGAACCTAATTTCGTTCTTAATTTGAACTAGTTACAGCCCGCTATAGGTTGACTCTGCTCGCTTTGCTTTTCGAGAGCGGCCCGTGACGTCCCGGAGCGGAGCTGCTTTCGGGGCAGGACTCGGTTGCTTGCAGGGGCCATGCTACGCGGCCCTCCCCGCCGGGAGGCTCCGCATGCATATACACGCACGCACACATATATATACACATATATAGGGGCTCTTTAGACGGCAGAAAATGCTGCACGTGCAAACTACCCGCTCCTGCCGGCTCCCGCAGTCCTTACAAAAGCCGGCGCGGGAACGCGCAGATCCGCAGCGCAGGCGCGCTCCTCGAGGGGCCGCCTCGCGCCCCTCCTCCCCGCTGTCCCCTGCAGCCCC